GATCGTTGATAAAGATACTGAACAGGACATGCTGATTGAAGGTTTTACTGTTTGTTAATCACATGCTGGATAGGAAAAAAGTGATACTCTCAAGCCATCAGTGCCAGACGTGCTAAAAAGCAGTGAAGTTGTTGGGCAGATGAAGTTGCAGAGAAGAAATGCCAAGGTCTATCAGCACTGTAGGCAGGGGAGAAGGGAAGGAGGGATGATCCATGCTGCTACCCATTCTGAATTCCACATGTTCTTAGTTCTCTTACAAACTGATACTCCAGAAGACAAAGAATAATTTACTTTAGTTTCCCATCCAAGTACCAGAATTTTCTCTGCTGGGAAGGCCTCCAGTGGAAAAGAGAGAGCAGAAAAGAAGACTGTGGCTAACAGAGACGCTGTGGAATCCATGTACTTGGAGATCTTCAAAACCTGCCAGGACAAGGCCCTGAGCAACCTCGTATAGCTTTGAAGTTGCCCCTGCTTTGAGAAGGACATTGGATTAGATGACATCCAGAGCTCTATAACAAGGTAATTTTTTTTCTATAGTTCTAGGAAATTTAGAGCTCTCTTGTTCCAACAAGAGGTCTTTCTGTTTAAATTTAGAAAACGTAATTTTCTCCAGTTTCAGTTGTGGAAATGTTTTTGCAGAGACAATTTGCTTCTCTTGTTTGGTTGGTTTTTTTAAGAGAAAAGGATAAGAATATTTCCAAATGGAGACACTGTAAAGTGGCCGTACCTAGAAGGGTTCTGAAGAAAAACAACTTGAGAATAAGACAACAACTTCAGTATTATTAAGCCATTCTATTTTTTACTGCAAATATGTTTCCCCTTACCTGAGCTTGGTGTTTATCTGTAGGGCTTTTGCCAGCATCTTTGCTCCCATATCTCCCATGGAATTTCCACTAATATCCACTTTTGTAAGAGAAGTATTGCTGCCCAAGGCATTGATAATGATGGTGACCTCAGTCTTCAGCTTGGAATCTGCGAGGGACAACGACTGCAGAGGCTGTGGAGCACAGAAAAGGCACTGATAACAGCAACTGATAATGCACTCAAACATCAACCAAAAGAAGTTACAAGTTCCCCAAACTCTTGGAGACAGCAATAAGCATCAAAGAGTTATTTCTGTATTTACTGACACATGATAAATTGGGAGTCAACAACTTACAGCACAGGTGTCAAACACATACACACACACACAGATTAAGTTGCAACACCCTGAAAAAAACCAAACATTTTTAAGTGACAGTGCCTCCAGTTTCCTGTGTCCTATTAAGTACAGAATACAGTGGGAACCTGAAAAGAGGCAAGATAGCAACAACCAGCTTCGCAAGACAACCTCTAGTGTCCCGTGGGTTTTGCTTAACCAGCATGCTTCCCTGTCAGTGAGAAATAAAAATATCTAGCACTCCTTTCCTCTCCCTCAGACGGAGAGCTTTATCCAAAGGCAAATTAGGATCTGAGACATTGTTAAAACAAAAACAATTCCTTTAAACTGTTTTATTATTGTTACTTCAACTTTAAGAGCGATTTTGTGTATCTGTTCCTTCAACTAAGGGCATGGACATTGGGGAGGAAAAAGACAGAAAACTGTAGCAGGTCTGAAATTAAAAACAGTAAGAAGAGTATCTATTAAAATGAGTGAGTCAATGGGTATTATTCACAGTGGTGTTCTGACACCGGTGATTGCAATATCTTTAATGGAACTTTTTTTTAAATATACTATATTAAACTGAAACTATTTTATTGGGCTCCTGCAAGTCACACTCTAAGCCTTAAGAAAACTTCTTTCAAATATGCCTGTATTCCCTCCATTCTCAATGTCCCAACACTCAACAGCAGGAGTTCAAGAACTACAGTCTACCCATCACCATGCCTTGCAGAGGTATTACAGCTGCTAAAATTGTAATTTGTCTTTGCTAATGTATGAGAACTTAACAAAACATTTCCCTTGCTCAAGTGTGAGTTCATACAGAGGAGTGTATTGTCATTATACACCCATTTCGGCATGTATTGGAAAATGAATTTTAGGAGCCTAAAATCTCCAAATTGCCAGTACGGGAAAATCAACATCTCGTAAGGATGAACCATGGCACCTATATTAGATGCCTAAAGCTTAGATTAATATAAATAAACCAACTGAACTGTGCACACCTTCGAGGGTCCAAGATGCTTGCATGGTACCTGCTATACATTGGGACTCTAGCCTCCAGACACCACTGGATTACACTGACAACCAAAAAGCTTGCAACAATAAGAAATGCACTTACAAATGAGGAAATGCATAAAAATTTGGATGCACAGCAGGTTTATAATTAAAAAGTCTAACAGTAACACAAGCCACATGCTGGTTTTATTTTAAATGGAAGTTATTAAATTACTATGTTAATGCCCTTAATCTGTCTGTGTTTCCCCATTTTATTACATTATGTAACCTACAGAATATTAGCATTGCACTAGAATGGCATTTAGAGCTCTTGGCACAAGTTTGCGACGACCTCCTGAGACAGATTCATAGCAAAGCAGCATTGCACAGCACTCTGGCAGAAATTGCCAGTAAGCTTGTGAAAGTCAAGTTTCTTCTGTTTCTCATGTGTCACTTTAGAGAGGGTCAAGTAACTTAGCTGGAAGTGCTCCCTCCCACATACCAACTTTTCTAAACCTCAAATATCCTCCCAGGAAAGGATTTCTCACCTCTTGCATTCCAATACTCTGGCAAAACAGTACATGATTGAAAAAGCTTCTGCACTGTGTTCTGCAAGGATTGACACCTATACGTCATTACTACCACATAAGAAATATGCATATAGCACAGTAAAGCACCTGCTGTATTAGTAGTGTCTTTGAAGTGGATGAATTGCTAGTTTTCTTGCACAGCTACCCTTATCCTTTACTCAATGAGCAAGAATCAAAAACCTCTGGACTGACTTGATGCCCTGAATGCAAACTACAATCAGAATGTAACTCTGTGGGATTAAATGTACAGGCTGCTAAATATTCTTTAAATTATCTGACCATTACATTAAAAAACCCAACCAAACAACAACAACCAAAAAACCCCACCAAAACCAAATCCCCCCCAAACAGGGGCAATACTCCACATAGCCTACAAACATTTACTTCTTTTAACAACTTAATAGTTTTAGCTGGATATTGAGAAAACAGAAGTCTGACAAGCACTTCAGTGTCCCTACTGCAGAAAACAGATACTTTGCCAATACAATAAAGATGTCTTAACACAATCTTATTAAAGAAGAGGAATTCTTAAAGTAAAGAATAGAATTAGAAATTGTATGATTGTATTCATTGATTTCGTCATACTCTGGCTGGAAAACATTTAAGAATTAAATCAAGCTAAATTTGTTCCCCTACGAAAAAAATGCTGTAAAAACCCTCAAAAGGCCAATTCTGCAACAAACACTGAACTAAAGACATTCAGTGCTGTAGTAATTCTCTGCACCTATGCAGGACTGACTACCACTCTGAGTAATGGTACACTATACCTGCAGTGTAACATCTATTTTTCAAGAACAAATGGCAGAGTAAGCATACAGCTTCAGACACTTCCTGCAATACTAATAAGAATACATTATTATAGCCTGCACAGTACAGCATCTACTTAAAAAGAGAAAAAACCAAACCAAAACAAAACAAAAAACAAATCTAAATATTACATTTTTGTCTATATTAAGCACCTGGGAAATTTTGCTGTTTAGGTTACTACTACTGCTTTTAAATCGTGTAGAATTACATTTGCTCTAGCTGTATTTTTACAGTCATAAAACCAAGCTGTTGATTGTTTAAATCATTTTACGCATGACTCATATTAACACAGCAACCGATCTATTTAAAGTATGTATAAATACATGAAGAAGCATTTGGCAGATGACTACTTTAGGTTAAAGTCTCTTGCTTCAGCTTTCCAAGCAGATAATGCACAGTCCCCAAACTGTACCAGCCTGCAGGCAACACTGATCAAGCAGTATGCTCTGGGCAACATCATACCCTGGTCTCTCCAATTCCACCCTTACTTTTTCATGTCCTGTGGCAGTAAATGCATAGTAATGGCAGAACAAGGACCACCCCATTTAGGATTCAAAACCAAACCAAAATACCTAGAAACTTAAAATAATTTTCTAAGCATTATACTATCTCAAGGTACAGTGAGGATTATGCAACTATCTGCAACACATGCTTTTCCCATAGTGCTACAGAGTCTACAGTGCTAGTCCTCAACTCTTTAGCGGCTAGGAGATGCTTCAGATTGATTTTAGCACCTGATGAAACAGAAACAAATAAGATCCCTTCACTGAAGATGATTAACAAGAAAAAAGAACATGGGGAGAGAAGAGACAGGTTAACACCAACAGGATCACATGCTGTATCCCAAAGGGTAATGCATGACATGAAGGAGAGAGCTATTTTAACTACCTAAATAAAATAACTTTTTGGTGGATTATTTCATTGTAACACTGTTTGAAAACAGGATGACACTACAGAGCGTGTTCTGTAGGTTAGCTCAGGAAAGACACGGTAAGTAAGAATTACAGGAGCACATCTGACCACTGGATTGTGGCAAAGGCAGAAAGTGGAACGATGGCTGATGCTGCCTATGGGCTGAAAAGAAAAGGAGCACAAGAAGTTGAAGCTGATGATGCAAGGGAGGGAGAGCTGTGAGAATGACACATCCAAAATTCAGCAGCTACATTTTCTCTGTCCTGGAAGCTTCAAAAACAGAAGCCAAGAAAGATAAACAGAAGGTTGTAACACTTAAGAGACAGTAAGGTTAAAGTTGGAATTTCTATCCTTGCGAACAGATAATATGAACAGGATACTCATATTAAAAAAAAAAAAAACAAACACCAACAGCATGTTTGAAAAGACAGTTTGGATACTGAAAGGACGCATAGAGTGTGTTGAAGAGGTGTTTTAGGATATGGCCTGAGTGGGAAGAAAGTGCAACAGAGCAAAGGGATGAAAGAAATCGAGAAAAAACATACTAAATTACATTTGCTTGTGATTAATCTGGTTTGACATAACAGTCTTCAGGATAGCTGTGAAAGATTAAGCATGAGATACAGGACAGGACAGAGACAAATGTCCAAAGAGAAGAAGCAGGTGCTATCTGATGAAATGATACCACCCCTCAGTATGGTATCAACAGGAAAAGGGAAGAAGGGGAAGACAGCCCTGCACCATTCCCTTTAGAGACAGAGTAGAAGGAGGTGGTCACACACCGCAAAACGAAAAGGCTAGTTTGGTACAAGTAGTAATACAGAGATCTACCAATACACTTCTTAGCACGATGCTCCACCTGACTTGTGCAAACAAGGACTTGCTGCTTTCATTACAGGTGCTAACTTAACTAGAATCAGCTCTGGCATCCATATGTCACTGTGTCACACTGACATCCCATGTTTTAAAGAATAAGGTGAGGAGGTAGGCAAAGAATCAAGAAAAAACCAGTACCACTAATCCCAATTAAGAGGGCACAGAGAGGAGAGAGGACTAGTTTAACAAATCACTTCAAATACAACTAAGCAGTAAGAGAAGATGAACACAGAATATGGGTCTAATGACCTTGTATGGAAGGAGACATCGGAAACCCTGGTAAAAACTGTTCCACTGAATTGCAGGGTGCAGGCACAGATGGGAGGAGAAAATAAGAAAGCAGTTAGTGTGGAGACCGTGAACTTGGAGGTGAGACAATAAAGACAACAGGAATAGCAGGTGTTTAGGCAACTGAAGTCTACAGTCAACTATTTTTGGAGAATGAGGAAAGCAGAGCTTGCTTGTTACTTGTATGGGGAATGAAGGAGAAAGAAAGGACTACGAGTAGATGAATAAAGATTGACAAGCATGAGAGTAACAGAGCATCTTAAGATTCCCTTATAGCCAAAACTAGAATGCCAAGTAAGGCAAGAACACAAACCCAACCACAAAAGTCTTTCAGAAGCAGGAGAGTGGGTGGAAATGAAGAAAGTGGGCAAGGATCCCAGTAAGGCACTATGAAAGGGTGTTAGGAAATTGCTCCTGTGATTAATGTACACAGGAGAAGTAAAGAACAGCATAGTGAACAGTTTATTTGCATCTTTTGAAGGAGTTCTGGGACATCACTGCAGTGACTTTGCATTTTGTCAAGCAAAAAAAAATGCTAATACCCAAGAACAGCTATCAGGAAATAGTGCATTCTATTAATTAAAAAAATGAAAAATAAAAATTCCATTATTGAAGGAGTATCACCACCCAAAGAACACTACCATTGTAATCTCCTATCAGGACACAAGAGTTTTGAAAACTTGTGCCTACAGAGCTGTATAATTTAGACCTAAAGCAACTAGGTTAAGCACATCCAACTACTTAGAATGAATATTTTTCAACAAGCACAGATCCTAAGACTATCCTAAAAAACATTTACCTACATGCTACACATAATCCGAATTACTATTCGAAAAAATAAAAACCAAAATGTTGCATGTGTCTGTGCAGGATCATGAGCAAATCTTATGCAGCAAATTAACACAGTGAAGAAAATTATCAGAAATAGGCTGTGAGGGTACAAATACACATGATGATAGTAGGCAGAAAGATACTCACTGAATCCTCGTCTTGAATCATCTGAACTAAATTATCAAGTACTGGAGTGAGATTTCTGAGGGAAGAAAAGTTAGGAAGACGATGAAATCAGCAGCTTCTCCTCATCCATTCTTTTGTTATTTAAAAGAAAGAAAAGCCTTACTTGGATTTCATGTTGTTAAAGTTTTTGCCTAACGCCAAGTGTCTTATCGATCGGTTTTTACTAAGCCAGACTACAAGGGTTGAGAGGTCAGATTCTAGGCCTGTAAAGAATCAGATTAGGTTAAGAATTAAAACACATTTTCACAAAAGACCCAGACAAGGTCCAATTATTAACGCTATATTCATTCAAGTAACTATATCAGTGTACTAATTTCCAAGAGCTCTAGAAAAATTTCCATTCTTCTGTTTTTAAATCTTTTTCTCTTTTTGCCTCTGGTTTTCTATGGGAATAATGCTTTCTCTAAAATGAGCCCTTTAAATCTCCATCCTAATCAGCCATTGAGGGCACCTCTCAGAAACACAGAAGAGAAAAGTAATCCCTTATACAGTCCAACCACCAAAGGGTAGTTCCTCATATTGTCAGGCAGAGTTTAAAGTTCCTCTGAGAATTTTGAGACCACTCTAATTGCTATTTAGTGTTAGTAGAGCCGTGTACCAACAAGGTCTCAAAACCTTCAAGTGGAAAAAGGCTAACATAACAGGCTATGAATGTTAGGTCATTTTTGACCTGAAAAACAAACCAAATTTTATTCTAAGAAAAATAACTTGCTGTAGTATTGTATTCCCAATCTAGTGGTGTATTTGAAGAGTCCACTAGTTAGATTACAATGATTTAGGATCCAGATCTGCAGGCTAATTTAGATGTCAAATATCTATCTATATTTATAACAATCAATCTGTTTACATAATTGGGCTGAGTCAGCAGCTCCCGAAGCTTTCCACTTGCCAATCCATCCCACCTTTCTTGGGCATTCAACTGTACTGGGAATCTCTTTCTGAAATACTTCCACATTTGACTGTCAGAGGGGCAAACACAGCAGGTGAATTCTTCCATTCCATACATGTACAATTTGAGTTTGCAAGATGAGAAGCCAGGTGGTATTCCCAGCTAGGATGCATAGAGCCTCCAACGCAGGAATCGTCCAAGACTTTTCCAAAGACTCAAACAGGCCTTCTCTGACCCGGAGCTGGTTGACCATTTGCTCCAAATTTCCCTCTCTTGCTCCTTCAGTATCACAACCTCACCTTCATTCTGTATCTGGTCTTTCCCTTTCTTCTTTCACTACACTTTCACTTCTCATTTAGCTTCTCATCCTCTTGTACTTAAACCCACTTTCCTCTAGATCTAATATGACGCTTGCTGCCATCAATTTATTCTGCTGTGCTACATTTATTTCAAACAACATAAACTTCTGAGGGTACAGTTAGTCTATAAAGATTTCTTATATACTTCATAGCAATAAGAATTCTTAGACTGAGGTATTTCCATAACCAATACGGCCAATAATCATAAAGCAAGAGTGACCATCCTTGATTACAGTGAAGAAAGAAAGAAAGAAAAAGCGTTTCTCAGATTCTGGACTTGCATGACCCTCCAGTCCTGTTCTGTGTACTTACCATTGTCTGAAATATCTAGGCTGGTGATATTGTGTATTTCTGCTATGCATCCTTCCAAGACTTGTGCACCTCCCGATCTTAACTAGAGACAAAACATCATCCATTTTTGCAAACTAGTTATGGTTTCAAGATCACACAGAAAACAGCGGTAGGAGCTTTGTGAATACAGAAGGCACTACCAGTGGCAAAACCAACAGCAACAGAAGAAGTTACAGACATCAATATGACAGCCTATGCACACATTCCTACTGTTCCCATCCTTCACTCTCACTATTTGCATACAAATGAGAAAAGGGACTCTCTTTCCTTTCTCTTAAAACTACTGCTCAGCAGTTAAATCAAGGAAAAATTTAAATGGTGCAGACACAACAAATCCTTTAGCACTTGTGCCAGGCAGTGATTGCAGGACTTTGGTGAGGGTTCTCTACATGAAAGGGCCAGGACGTTTCCAACATCCAGTGAGAAAAAAAATAAACTTAGCCCAGCCTATAAGCATATGACACTGTCACCCTTGAATTCCACTACAGTCAAGGCTAATAGTGAGCATCTTCTTTCAGCTCTTAGCAAAATACTAGGGTGCCCAGATCAAAGATGAGTACCAAACTTTTAAAAAAAAAAAAAAAAAAAAAAGAAAATCATGTTTCCCTGTCACTGAAAATTTTAATAATCCAATTGTAAAATGGCCACAAAAGACCACAAGCAAGAGAAATCAGTAATTTACCTTATTCTCAATTTAAAAATAGGCATAAAAGAGAAAAACAGCAACAATAACAAAAATGCCTAGCTGGAAAGTATCAATTATGATATTATTAATCTGAAATATTAAATGAATATAAAAGAAATGTCAAGATTTAATGAAAAAACAATGAAATGGCCTAGGGGAAAACATCAACATTAAGAATCAAAGTTATTAAAACTTACACACTTATTTACTAACGCTATTGAATTAAACAATGCAATATATTTTTTTTTTCCTGAAGAAGCAAAAAGCATTTTCTTATTTCTTGCAGCTACGCAAACTATATAAAATGCATTTCACTTTATGAACAGCCCCCAGCAAGAGACTTAAGCAAAAGAGGGGAAAAGTTCTACAAAAATTCTATTTTTGCATTTTCCATTTTCACCTTCCTTGCTTCAAAAAAAGGGAAAGCTTTTTCAAACATGAAATAGCCTTTTCACCTCTTGTGCATAAAAAACGAGTAAAAATTTACTTAGTCAACTTACTTGGCTAAATATCCTGAATCAACCTGCTGATATTTCTGTGAATAGTCTCTTTTATCCATGCTATAACTAAGGAACCACAAATGCCTTCAGAAATATTTTTCAATAAAGACTTGATTTGGCACTTTTTAGGAAGTTTGAGATATGTGATTGGTTAACAAGCAGCTCAACAACTTGGCCTGAGCATTTAAAGAACAGATGTGGTCAAAGACAACATCTAAATCGTAAGTCACATCTGGAACTGTAAGAGATACAGAACGTAAGGCACCTTTCCTCTTCTGCATAAAACAAAGCCTACCTAGCCTTCACCCTATCCTCTCAAGAAGTGGCCAGATTAAAGTCTGTATTTGGGCCAGAAGTGGTGCAATTTTTTCATTTGTAGAATTTGCTGTATGAATGCCAAAATCATTCAGTTTTGCTCTGTGCTGCTCTCTCAGTGTGGCCCCACCGCAAGACAACCATTTTACACAAAGTGTCACATCTATTATTGCAGAATCTATGGAACTGGCAGATTATATGCTGTCTTGGATTGGTTGTTGGTATGGTAAAAGTTCTATACACTAAAATTATACTCACAATAGAATCCAAATGCTTATGCTATACATACTTTGAGGGTTGAAGTGGACAGTTTTTCAGGAACAGCTTTCAATCTTGTACCGATAACTCTATATTCAAAATCTTAAATACACAAACATTTCATGTGCACAAATAGTGATATCTATTTAATCTGAGGGTGATGATAACAACTTGACTTTTAGGATCAAAATTTATTGCAACTGTATTAAAATAATATATATATATTATATAAAAAAGCA